GTCGGGGGAAGTTACTGCAATGATGGAACTGGTTGCTTGTGAGATTTCCAATAATTTGATACACACTATTTTGTTGCATTTTGCTGACTTAAGACTTCATTTCAAGACAGGATGATAGGCAATAGGTCTAATAAATGGGTAATTATCTGAATGTGCTGAGACATAGCCACAGGCAGCGTTAGGTGTCTGTGTATGACATGTGTCCTTTGTTAGTCAATCTTCCTTAAAAAAAAAAAACAGTCCCCAAAATGTGCACAGCATTAGGGTCACTTTTGTATAAAACATGCATTTACAAAGTGCAGATTCTAAGAATTGAAATATCAAAAGGCTCTGCCAAGGGTAGATGAAAAGATGAAGATATAAAACAAAGAGAAGCATAGCATCCCAGTCTTTTAGGACGGCACATGATGAGAAATACTTAAAAATATATTGGCAGAAGTAAGAAAGACATAAAAGCCTAACGAGCTAGAGTAAGCTACAGTACTAAACACCTGTGTAGAGAGCAGTTTTAGAACAATGATATCCTGTAAGCATCAGTCAGCTGGTTGTAAATCTTTCATTAAGTTACAGGTAAGATCATTCATTACATACTAACGTGAAACAGTTTAAATAATGTACAGCTTCATATGTATCATTTCTAATGCAGTCAAATTGAGTTGTACAATGCATGTTTGTATTTTTGCCACAGGATCAAAACTAATGTATTTTTCAACCAGGTTGAGAATTTCACACAAAAATAAATTTGACTCAAAAGTAGATTTTCTTTTTTTTCAAAATGATTTTGTCTTGATAATTTGATTCAAACTTTAATCTTACCAATGTTTCCCCACATTTCAAACAGGCGATTTACCACTAGCTGCACTTAAAATCCCTGCCACAAGTCCATGATAGTATCAAAAAGCTGGGATTGGTCTTGACATCATACATGAATCAATCTTTGCAATTTCAACATTAAGCAAGAACACAGACTGCACACCAGATTTATCAATATGTTTTGTAACTTACTGAAACAGATTTTAAACCATATCTGAAAAAGCATTGACTCAAATAGACCAAGATGTGATTTTAATACACTTGATATCTCTTTTCCAATTCTATATGTGTTGGTTGAGTCCCTGAGATATTGCTGCCTGTCTGTTTTCTGCTGGTCTGATGGTGACAGTGCTTTTCCATTTCACAAGCTTGAAACGCACACACATACAAAAATGCATTTGCACACACATTCAAGTAGGTCACCCAGATGTGTTTGCTCATGCTCCTTTTCACATTTACAAACACACAATGAAAAAGAGGTCCTGACGTCAAACTATTGCCACTATGGGACGGTGACTTCCAACTAGATCTACATTTTTTTATCGGATGGAGAATGAAATAAATCTTGCTATAAACAACTATCTAAAGTCTTGAGATTTTTAACGTTTTAGAAATACAATGTTTGTATCGGTCCCTCGCATCATACCGCCAAACCCTTCGCCACTTCGATAGTTTTAAAAAAGGGGGAAATGCTTGTGGACACCTGTGTAAGAATCTTAAACCCCAGGTTATTCACAAGGATAGAAACAAGCAAACATACATAAGATATGATTTCTGATCTAGGAAAAGCATTGACAACGCTTATCCAAATACCAAAAATCCAAACCCAATAGTGGGCGTTTCTTAAAGTAGCTGAGGTGTATTAGACCAGCATATAGAAAACATTTTATATTGTCATATATCTTCCTCTTGAATTAAGCAAAAACCTTTCAATCATTGAGACAATCATAAAAGCAAAAATAGTTGTTTGGTTGATTTGCGTAAGCTCCAAGTCAACTGTCCAAACCTCTGAGGATTTGAAGGTATTCAGTGACTAAAATCAACTAAAGCAGATAAAATACTGTTTTCAAATCTAGTTTAGTCCCCCATCTTACAATAGAGTTATAAATACCCAGTAGTTGCGTAGCTGCAGATGTGTACAGGAAACACACGGACATCAACTGCAGCAGCTTGTAAAATGTCCCCTCCCTCCCCTTCCTGCTCGCTGCTACCTACTGATCCGCGGTGCGTTCCAGACCGTCTATGACGCGGCTCAGCCTGATGTTCAACAGCCTGATCTGAGTATCCAGGTGGTCGATTTTCTCTTCCAGTGAACCTGCCCCTCCTCCCCGGCGCCAGTACGCTCCCACAGGCCCCGTCATGAAGTACATAGCCATGATGAAGCACAGAGGCAGCACCGCACGCTCAGGGTCACCCTCAAACTTCTGCAGGATGTACAGGCAGGACAGGGCGAAGAGCAAGACACGTGCCAACCAAAAGAAGCGGCCGAACACACCGTGCAGAAGGTAAAAGAAAACCCCCAGGAATATGGAGAGGACCCAGTAGGCCACAAGAACCGCTGCCACCAGGAGCAGGGCGCGGGCCGGAGTGTTGGTGAGGGATGTGGGGCTGAAGTAGTGGCTCAGGTTAGAGGCTACATAGGGGAGAAAGAGAAGTATATGTTACAAAAGTGTACCTCACTCTGCACCCATCTTTCTATGTTAGAAAAATGTAATAATACATTTAAAACTTACAGTCAATGCCCATCACATCCAGCAAATCTGACCAGATCTTCCAGATGGTGTCAAGAAAAGAGTCCACTCCATGGACAAACCTCTCCGTGGTTTTTGAGAAAAACTACAGATACAAAAGAAATGCAAAAAAAAGGGTAAGACTGTTGGAATGTAGCATTGCATTCTTAGTTTAAGACCCACTGTTTATACAGAGAAGTAAAAACGTTGAAATGGAAAAGTCCTACAGTTCAGCAAAAGAAAAGGAGGGTTGTCAAAATATACAACAAGAGAACTGCAGGGTAATAATACTTCATTAATGTAACATTGCAGTAGCACGTCAGACAAAAGTTCTTAGCATAGACGACACAGGGCTAACTTTAAATTTAAATTAAAGTATTTTTAACACAACACATGTAGAACATCACGCCATTTAGCATTAGTATCTGACTATAAATTGCTTTTGTGGCTATATATAAAAAAACTGATTACCAATCATCATCAGTTAAAACATCAAACATTCCCCAGTTTCGAATGTAATCAGTCCTTTTTAGTTTGCATGCTGCTACCTGTAAAGCAGACACACTGACAAACATGGCTTTCATTGAAATGTACAAGTTCATATGGTCACATGATCTAAATGTGGACTTATGCTCAATATGATTTGAACAGTGAATAACTAAGTATTTAGTCTCACTTATGTCACTTTTGGTTTGGCACCTACATACGGGAAATAACCATGGATGTATAAGGAAATAACACTATATTTAAAAATACAGGAAGTGCAGCTAAGCCAATGAGAGCACAGACGCAATCTGTTTCCTTAGCAAGAGCTGCTATGGTATAGTTTGAAGATGAAGTCGATATAAAGAAGCAGCTATGACCTGAACCAACGGGGCTACTACATGCCATCTGTTTGGTGACATTATGCACTTGCAGATGGGCTCAGAACAATGAATGAGAATATTGGTAAAACAACAAACTATAGTATTGAACTGTAGTTGCATTTAAACACAACTAAAGCCCGTTGTACACGGCAGCACTAAATCAAGTGACACCTTCCATAGATGGATAAAACATGGAATAATGGCTAATTTTTCAAAATGGCATCCGTGCAATAGTAGTTCAGGCCCGGGCGCGCTTGTTTCCTGTTTGCCACACCACAAAACCCGCCCGTCTGCTAGCTTCTTCAAGACACAATGGGCCTTTTCCAGACCATGACTATCCCACACTGACCTTGTATAACCCTCTGATGTTGTCTTCTCCGAAAATACTGCTGAGGGTCTGGTAGATGACGTTCGCTGCCCGTCGGAAGCTGTTCTGGTTGCTGGTCCTGCTCCTGGCCGCTTCGGCTGTGCAAAGCAGAGACACGGAAAGCACCAAGATAAGCGCGAAAACCCGGATTCCCTTCATGCTGCCGAACCCCCGAGATGTCAAGCAGAAATATGTATCAAAAAGGTTAAAATAAACGCAAGGTGAGAATGGGTGTAACTGCCTAAACACCTTGGTGGGGGATGATGAGCCACTGACTGTGATGGTGGTTACAACCCGTGTTGCGTTCAATGATGCCTCGTTTATTCCTGCTCCAGCCTGCGTTCATGGCCTTTTCGCGTAAAAAATTGAATTGGTTACTTAGAAAATACATGGTGTATGTATACAAATAGGACAGCGGTGTTAACGATTCATGCGAATCAACACTGTTTAGAGTGACTTACACACATTTAAGTGTCAAGTTTCCCTGACTTCAATTGTTCCGATTAACATTAAAGGCATCGTTCTACTCATGCGATCTTGAGACACAATAGTTTAATGTGCAGCGTGTTGCTGCCCTCCAGCGGTGGATGAGTCTAACGCATTGTTTCTTCCACACCAAGGTTTTCTTTTACGTCATTTCAACACCATCCTGCATGGGCGTTTTTGTATTTTTCAGTCTCCTTATCTCTTTGTCTACAGCTAAACAATTACAATACTTATCAACAGTTTAATTAACTAGGCTATGAGTCTTAATTGTCAACTTTCGATTGTTAAAGGATGAGTTTAAAACGAAAACATTATCTGCTCTCTACAAAAATACCTTATTTTGTCAGATTGTAGGCCTAAGCAAGGCTATCCACTTTCAATATCAATATATGAATAGTTCCAAAGGAGAGCAAGTGTTCATGGTACAGCCCATGATATAATTTTAAAATGAACTAATTGAATACAGAACACATTTGACATGAATAGAGAATATAATAGAATAGTTTAATGTCATTATACATGTACAATGAGATAATAATAAATGCTTCTCCCTTTCAAGGGTGCCATCAAAACAAAAACATCACAACAAAACACACGCAGCATACATACTTAGGAATAAGGAATAAAGGAATAAGGAGTATACAAATAAAATCTGTAATGTAATTAATAATAATAATAATAGTGTGTATTTATAATAATAATAATAATAATAATAATAATAATAGTAATGATATATATGTATATATGTACAGAGTCACATTGATTCACATGATTTCAGGTGTTAAGAGCAATGGTGGCTCTTGGGAAAAAACTTTCTTTGAGTCTGTTTGTTTTGGATGTGATACACCTGTAGCGCCTGCCGGAGGGCAGCAGGTTGAACAGGTGAAAGCCGGGGTGTGAGCTGTCCTTGATAATGTTTTTGGCTCTACTGAGGCAGCGGGAGGTGTAAATGTCCATCAGGGAGGGGAGAGTGCAGCCGATGATCCTCCGTGCTGCTTTTACGACTCTCTGGAGTCTCATCCTGTCGGCCTCAGTGCAGCTGGCGTACAAACACTGTGATGCAGTATGCCAGTAGGCTCTCGATGGTAGAGCGGTAGAAGGTCACCAGCAGCTTAGTGGCCAAGTTGTTCTTCCTGAGCACCCTCAGGAAGGGCAGACGCTGCTGGGCCTTCTTGATGACAGCTGTGGTGTTGTCCTTCCAGGAAAGGTTTTTGGTGATGAGTATGCCGAGGAACTTGAAGGTGTGGACCCTCTCCACACACTCGCCGTTAATGTCGAGGGGAGCGAGGTCGGTAGTATTCCTCCTGAAGTCTACGATGATCTCTTTGGTACTGAAGCTCTCAGCGTGGTGTTCAGTGAGCAACCTGGCACTGAACCCCACGCTGAGAGCTTCAGTACCTCACGCCTGTACTCCATGCCTTGTTTTTCAGCGTGTAAGTAACACGCATTGCTTGGTTTAACTTGGCATGCACTTAGATCTTTAGGGACAGATATGGCCAATATTTTATTCTGTTGTAAAACATTCAGTTGTGCAGTTTTCTTACAGACTTGGTATTGATGTGAGTGAAGATTTATAGTAAGTTTGAAGATAATATGTTTTCAGGAAAATCTGATATCACTTTCAGCATATAAATGCCTGATTAATCGTGATACCAATCATTGTAATGTTTTGCACATGTGAGATGTTTTTTTTTGTTACAGTTACTCCAATCATTAGAGGAATATTTGTGTTGATGATATGATTATTATTGTTTCAACTAACTGTCCCTCTATATTAACAACATTTGTCAAATCATAGGCCAGTATGCAGAGTGATCCTCCAGCTCATGAGACGTGACAGGAAATTGAATTTAAGATGCAGTTCACTGCTGTTCCAGAGATGGACTCGTTACTTGGAAAGCTTTCCCCTGAGTTCTCATTATCCATATCATAACTACATTGCAAGGCAGTAATGGTGCAGGATGAAGTAGGTCAAGGCTGCACATAATGAAAACAGGAATGGGGACAGGCATTACAGAAGTGCAGCAACCCTTTGTTTTTGCAAGCAAGCAGTGTTGCTTGTATTACATTAATATTTTTTGTAAACATTTCATTAACAGTGGAGTCAGTATGCACAAATGATTAGTGAATACACACATACGAGAATCATGGTTACGGACCATTCAAAATGAAGTACATTTTTCAACGGTCTTATGTGGCACCTTCCCAGAACTAACCATTAAAATATGAATGGAGCTAATGTAAAACAGCCTGCAAAGCATCGCTGTTGGTGAAATTCTTGGTTTATTTATGGATAACATGCGAGCATAACCAATAATATTAATAAAGGCAATACCATTTATTATAGTTAAATGTTCAGGGGTTATACCGGCATTATAACAATAACATCAAGGTGATACTGCAAATACGTTTTGGGCATGTTGGTTTATTGGTTCGATTTAAAAATACGACCTTCTTCTTTTTTTGTTGTTCTTCTGAATAAAATAAAGCCCAAAATACACATAATTAAAATAAATGTAATGTTAGCTGGCTAAACTATAGCTGTACATACAATTGAAATGCTGCTGTGCACTGCCAGTAATCCATTAATGAGTGTCTGTGATTAGTTAAAAAGTCAGCAATAATAACCAATACAAAACATATACAAACGTATAATACAATGTCTAATCTCATATAGTGAGTGCATCAATCAACAAGTTGCACATGTCTTTATTCCAGATGGCTTTGCTCCATTCCTGATCTTGACCAAGAGAAAGCCAATATTCAGTAGGTCCAGTGAGAGGACACCAGGACCAGGAGAGTATGCCCTTTCACCTGTCAGGGTATTCAAGGTCAAGGACATGCATTTTCATAAAATTAAGCCAGACCTGAGTGCATCTGATGAGTCAGGTGAGGCTGAATGTATTTACTAAATATGGAATAATTATCATTCAAGTCAGGCAAGAGATTGAGCTAATGACATCTTTCCTGATTGCTTCCTTATTCACTTTGAGTGTTTGCTTGTCTCTTGGTTGATTCAATGTCTCTTTAGCTAAACATCCATGGTGGCCGCAGTCTTCAGAACTGCTCCAAGCATTTTGAGGAGGTAGTATCGAAGGTTCCAGGCCCGACATTGTCTTGCCTGATTCACGAAGCGTGCTCAGGGCTGTGACGGCTGAAGCAGGACAGTCTGAGAAGCTTGGCAGGAATATGATAAGCATGTGGGCAAAGTAAATGGGGACAAAGACATAAGATGTCAGTTTGCATGAAATTATTTAATATAGATTTTCTACCTCCAACTTAATAGGTGTTTCATCTACAGTAGGTTGGCTTTTATACAGTATGCATACATATAAGGGAATATGGGAAGTTTAGGAACATGATGGAAAATATAAGGACTAAAACTGTAACTTGATTTTAACTGTGTTGAACATAGAAATGTAAAAAAAAAGGATGATCAGACGTGTATGTTTTGTGCAACCTTAACAGTGAATCAAAGACGTATTTTCGGTTGACTAGGCCTTTTTGTCTATTATCTTTATTAGCAATAACAGTGGAAAATTCCAACTTCCTTCTGTGGGACAATCAGACTAAAGTCATACTAAAGACAGTAGTTTGTCCATTTAACCGCTGTTCTTTTTAAGCCCCTTAAACTTTGCTCACCATTTTATGTAAAAAGTTTTCAGGCATTTTGTCTGAGATGGCCTTCATTGCCAGTCCCTCAGCATATGTTGTTCCTGCACCTGCACTTCTGTCTCACTTTCTTTTTTCCTCCCTTCACTTTTCCCTCTTTTGTCCTTTATATTCTGCCCACTTTAGCTCCTTCTCTCTTTCTGTCCCTCCCTGAGTCTCACACTTTATTGGCCCCAGGCAATGCTAAGCTACTTTGTAAGCCTGGGCATCCTTTCCATCACAAACCCTGAATTCTCTCCCCGCTCTCTCTGTCTTTTTTCTTGCCTTTTCTGTGTGTGCAGTGGCTGCGGGCTAAAAGTCTCCATCAGTCAGATATCTCATCCATTCTTTCCCCGGGCCAGGCCTATGGCTATGAGAAGGGCGCCCTGGGTCCACTCCTCAAGCAGCCGCCTCCTTCCAGGGACACAACCCTAGGGCCCGCCCACTACAATCCACTGCTGGTAAGGACAGATACACATTCACACACACACTCCCACACATGCAGGCTCATGTTGAAGTTTGAATGTACTGTAAATCCATCAGAGAACGTGAAGTGTTCATTTGTGTGCTTTCATTAGACTGTACGAATGTGTGTCTGAGTGTACTTACTCTGCCCATGAGGTATGGTCCATTAGTGCTAGTCAGATCTAATGCACTGCTGAACCCCCAACCCACCCATTCAATTGGCCCAAAATCCATTTCCATAGCTAATGAATGCAGCTCTACTTTAAAAAAGCCACAGTGCACAAATTCTCATCAATTTTACATGCCAACAAAGAGAGCCATTAGTAATTATTCTTTAAGCTATATTACAATATTCACTTAAAATAATGCACACGCCTGCTAGTCTGGCTCTCAATTAAGTAATTTTTCATCTGTTAATGACCAGAGGAAGTCAACAGTGTCCTTGAGTGTTGGCAGAGGTTGTGTCAACACACCAGCGCAGGCACAGAGGCACACTGTGATTTAGGGCTATCAACAGTGCATCCATCCTCGGCCCTTTTTTTCTTCTGTTGCTCTCTCTTTGAAAGTTCAGCCCCACTCTGCCTGTGTTCTTCCCTCCGTCTCTCCATCTCACACACTCATTTCTTTAAACCAAAACACTTCCCCCACCCCATGCTCCGACTGAGTTCAAAAGTGTGGGGAGACAGAATCAAGTAGTTGTCTGGGGATACAACTTCAAAGTATAGCCAGGGCAACCTCTGAATGATAA